TTTGCTAGTTTGGTTTCCTTTGCCTCTTTCATTTTTCATGAAACACTTGCTTGGTAGAAGTTTTGGATCATGGTGGTCCACATCCAGCAGTAGGAAGGTCACCCCTTGCACTTAGGTGAGTGCTAGTATGTTTACACCCACACCACATAATCCTATTCAAAAGAAATCTTTGCAAGGCAGCGCTCAGAACAAGAACAGCTATTGGTATCTTAGAATTTGTCTTCCCTAATGTTAACTAGAGTATAAAAACCTTATTTAGAGCTGAGGTAAAAGCTTTGTGTAGCCAGGTATTATTTGGTGATGTTCCAAAACATCTCTGCTCACCTGTGAACTGCAACACAAACCTTTTCTTCACTGTTTGGCTATATTATTTATGTTCACTTTGGAATAAACAGCATCAAAGTATCTAAAAAAATTTCTGCTCACACATTTAATGTGTTCTAATTTTCCTCTTCTAGACTATCATCTTATTGCCTAAGACACCTTCTGCTACTATTTACAGGTGTTTTTGTGCTAGAGGCTTTAGAAGTTACTTTGTTTTAGCACTAACTCATTCCCTTTCTAAATTCAATTTTACATTAGTCAGTATCTAAAAATACAATTTATTTGACTAACTGCTTAATGACCTATGAAAATATTGTTTAAACCTCATACATTAGTAGAGCTGCAGAAGAACATACATCACTCCTTCCTGATCTTTACAGAGGTACTTATTTAGATATATAGATATATATATAACGAAAACAAATATCTTTCACGTCACTGCTGTGCTCCCTTAGCTTCCCAAAGAGTGATGCAAAAGGAGCTGTTCCATCAAGAGCAGTTGTCAAAATGACATAGATGAAGTTCTCACTTTTAAAGTACTTTTACTTAATCACTTTCTCCACCTTAATGAATATGAATTGTTATACAGAACAATAAAGACTTTGTAATTAGGCAATATGGTTAAAATGTGGTTTTCCAGAATAAAATACCTAATATATGACTGAAATATGCAATTAAGTCATCAACAACTTTAATGAAGTGTTCCTTTCCCACTTCAAGTTCATCTTTCCCTTCCTTCTCTGGTTTGCTTGGCAGTTTCTGATGTTTTGTGTCAAAAAATAAAAGTTAAAAAATGGTCTACCTCTCATACTTTGCACAAGAACTGCTTAAAGACACCATGATGGAGAGAGAATAGTTAACACTAGTATGGGGGAGTCAGGTACTCCCATTTGTGTTCCTTAGGACTGTTTATTCCAAGAGACTACAAAGACATAAACTTCAGTGTGTCCTATAGAAATGGACGTGACTCACATAAGTATATATCAGACAGTGAAAACCATGAATTAGTTTACTTATCGTCCCAAAGCAGAGTAAAAAATGCAGTCAGTTTGCTAGAGAAAGTCATGTACTCAAACCACCATCAGGACTTCAAGAAGCTCAAGAAATGGCAGTGGATGTTATAAACCAAATGACAAAAAGCTCCCTGATTCAATACTAAGAATTTGTCTTGGTCAGCTTCCTGAAAACAGTGTGCTCCTTTGGTAGGGACATGGAACCTCTCATGTGCAATGCTACCTGCCATCATGTCCTCCTTAGCACTGCAAGGATTATTCTTGCCAGGTGAGTCGCTGTCCTTAGAGGGTTGTCAGCCTCTTTCACTCAGAAATAGGTTCTTAAATATTCCAGTAGAATTTATCGCATGTCAGTCAAGTCTGTAATCACATGGTTAAAGGAATTTAAGTTAACTGTGCGCCTGCTCCCATTCTGATGTCTTTCTCCTCATGTACAGTGCTAGAAAAGGAAGAAAAAGTAGCTGTGGAAAATTATTTCAGAGACAATAAGAGACAAGAGCCACCGATCCAAGTACAGGCCAATTAGTCTCATATCTCACTGTGAAGCAACACTGTTTCCCAAGTTCTTGCAGCTGCAAGTATTAACATCCTATACACAGGCATGTTGTGCAAAGCGCCATTTCTACAACTGGCGTCCACCTTCACTGCAGTGCTGGGATCTGCACATCTCACTCACTGGTGTGCAGTGCATGGCTTCCAACAGTCCTGCAAGGGCTGTGATTCCGAGCACAGCTGTTTGCCTGTGGAAGTGCCCTGTGCAGTCTCCTTTGAACACAAAGTGCATGGGCACATCTCCCCAGTTTGAGCACGACCCTTAGTGTTCTTTTAAAACCCCAAACAATGCAGAGCTGCCCATTTTTTGATCATTTACCATCCCTTTCCAAGTCAGTGACCTGTGCACCCTGGCTGCATGTCCAGTGACTGAACCCCCATCTGAGAGCTGAATTAGACCAACCATAGCATGCTTTGTTCCCCAGCATATGCCAATAATTCCTCACCCAGCACAAGGAAGACTACATAAAAATTTTGGAAAGTTATCTGGGAAACGAGACATCTGTGTTGAATTCTGTGCTCAGTTAACTGCTTTGTGCAAAGCACAACAACCCTATCAGGAGGGACTGAGATGCTTAACAGCAAATACACTGTAAAACTGATCTCTTGTGTCATAGAAGAACCTTAGTCACGGAAACCAAGCCCCACCTATCCCAGGCAAGCTTTTCAAACACAGAGCTACTGATAAATCAGAATTGTGTTACTCCCTCAGCCTTCTGAGTCTCACAAATGAGACACATACGAATACGTATATTTTACATACTTTTTGCTGCATGTCTAGTGGCTTTGTGCTTCAGAATCTAGGTGAAATGTGTGCATGCTCAGCAAGGGCAACATAAACATCTGTAAGCCTAGGATAGTGTGCTCCCTGTATGATAGGCTGACATCATGTATAGTGAAGTGAAAACAGTGTGAGGACTGCACACCACCTCCTCAGTTGCACTGATATAACTGCGTGTAAGGCAAGGCTTTAAATCAGATTACTGAGGCTGTGACCATTTAAAAAAACCCCAACATCGCCAAGCAATAACAAAAGCCACACAGCAAACTAGTTCACCCTTTTCTGGAGTAATTTTCAACTGTATTACTTTGAAAACTCAGCTTACAACACAGCATGAAAAGCACTTCTAACACCACAGCTGAAGGAGCAGCAAATTTTGTTGTTAAGGACAGGAGCAACTGGCCAGAGGCAGGAAAAACTTCTAAAGCCAGTTTTGCAATTGAATTCACTGTACTGTGTAATTATTTCCTCATATAAAACCAAGTAATAGGGTCAAGTTTATGAGCATTGTTACTGTTTGATCTTAGATAAAACCTGCCAGGGCCTGCCAAGATCATCTGCTTTTTTTTCTTTCTTCTTAATCATGTCACAAGTTGAAAAAAAAAATGGATACTAAATGGATACTGAAGCTAGGATTTAAACTACTGTGCCAAGTGACTTGCTCTAAATGCTACAAATATACAAATCAAACAAAATTCAACTGGAGTTTGAGGTTCTCACCAGTTCTGACAAGTTGGAGTCTGAAAATCTGGTCCTCAATGTATGTGTGTAGGGCACCAATAAATTCTTATTTTTACACCTACCCACAAAGAGAAAGCGAGACTGAAATAGGGAAATTACTGCATATATTCAGATGGGTAAGTATGCTGTAAAATGAATAACTAGGCAAGGAAAATCATTAACAATAGAGCCATCTGCTGTATTTCAAAAAAATTACACCAGCAAAAATTCTGAAAATGGTAAAACAACCTGAATTTTTCACTACTCCATGTTATGAAAAGTGATCATAATGATTAGTACATCAGTTTAAATGACAGGAAATGTGTATTTCTTACACCTCTTCTAATTAAAAAGAATATTTAGTGGCATGATACTGATCCTCTGTGTCTGATGATACTAATTGACATTGTAGCTGAGCATGTTAAAAGCCTCAAATGCTTTCCATTATATTTGAATTAGATAAGTACAACACTGTGTATGGTGACAATGAGGTCAGCAGCAAGTTGAATATGTCTGACAAGACGCTTTACAATAAGAATTCCACATATGAAGACTTTACAATAGAAAAAAATCAACACAAAAACGAGGGGAAGTTTAAAAGACAGATTAACCCAAGTGATTCTTAGTATACCTTTCAACTTCCAGAAATGAACTTGAAGTGCCCTCTTTCATGCATGGTGGAAAAAGCAAGTGCCCAGAAGCAAATTCCCAGTTTTGCATCTTAAAGATAGCACTAAAACACAGATCCAAAGTCCTAGGTAAACTAGGAAAAATTGTACCAACACAGTCCCAAAACAGCACACAATAAATCTGGCCTCAAATGGGTGCTATAGCTATGCAAAAAGGTAACCCCCACAAAGTATACATAGCCCCTAAAAACTCTATCCTGTTCATGGGAACGTGTTTCTTAGCTGAAAGGTTCAGAATAAAAGACAGACAGACTCTAAGCATCAGGTTTGATGTAACTGAGTTTTCAAAGACACGGAAGACAACACCTTTTGAAGTGCCAATTAACTGCTGGTAGTGAGTGCCACTGCTTTTGAGTGTGCCTGTGAGTTAAAACCAGTCATAAACTAGCCCATCCCAGGCCTGCTGGGGCCTGTGGTTTTCCTCCCTTCACTGTATTTCCCATACAATTGGTTTCCCAAACCTCTCACAGGTGGCCAGAAGAAGTGACCACAAAACAACAATGAGAGCTGTCAGCATCAATCTTCACAGGGAAGTTCCCCTTGCATTTAAAATAAGCTGACATGACATCACCCAACATCGTATCTGTAGGTCATCACAGGTGCCTCAACAAGTGTATCTGCCCCAAATGTACGTGTCTTATTTAAATATACCAAGGATCAGATGTTTGACAACAAATATTACTTGTTCCTACAAATCCTGTCATTTAGCAGTTTTAAGTGTTATTTAACATTTCATTCCATTTTTGTAGGTTATACAAAACAAGTGACACTTCATCATTACACCTGCAACTTCAGTAATTGCTACATAACAGTTTCTTCTACTTTCGACAAAACTAAACTTCCACGACTAGAATTTTTAAAGCATCATAAATAATATAGCAAAGACTTTCTTAGCTTGAAAAGAAAACCACATATATTTACCTGCCATCATAGCAATCATACTGGCTTTGTAGACATTAGCAAGGGACCCCAATTCACCTGTTGCCAAGATTGTTTTCATATGAGCTTCTCCACAGGCCTTACGGCACTGACGTATCTCCTCGTAGAGACCTGTGGATAAGAGCATGTGAAAATGATCAAAGTTGCCTGAGAGACATTTTCAAGTATGGCTGTAATTTCCACTTCTGGATTAATTTCCAATCTTATAATTAGCCATAGCACTCAAGAACTTAAGTTTTGCAAGTTCAATAAATTACATGACTGGAGGTAATTAACAATGCCATGCATTTACTTAATAGTAATTAATGTCGGTTCTCTCAAAACTACAAATGTGCACAGTATGCCAAATACTCAAACACATCAGGAGTAAAAAATGCTATGATAGTAAAGATTGATTTTAAACCAGCTTTCCCAGCAATAAATGTGGTAGTACATTGTTAGGGACAGTTATATTTTCCTACGTACATCGCTCTCTTTCACCAACATTTGACAAAGTATTCCGTTTAAATGACACCAAAGGTGTGACCAAGTCATATAATCACAAAAATTTGTGCCACCTGAGATGCCATAACATATCCCCTTGGCTTCCAGCTGCCACTTCTGGATGATCCACATCTTCCTTTGGTTTCCTACTGTCCTCCCCAGTACCACAGAACTATCTCAGGAAGTTTGATTATGGAACTCAGTGTCTGTGTTTAGGCATCTGAATCCCACCTTAAGCTTCTTAGAAATAAGAATTTCCTGAAAAAAATCAACGCAGTGTGCTAACATTCCTGGTGAGGGGAGACCAAGGCCTGGGATCACACCCCAAGGACTAGCAAATTCACGTGGATCTGTGACAGGGAGGGCAGCTCAGCATTTGGCTGCTCAGGGACATTGTCCAGAGCAGACCACCCCCTCACAAACTCCTGCTTTCAGATTTACAAAGTGTCATGGCCAAAGAGGCATGCTTAACTTTCTAACAGTTTTATATTTTCACAGACTCAGTAGGGTCTGGAATAAATTTGGACATAACCAACTATAAAAAGGCTAGAATTTGTAAACCCAGTCAGGTAATGCAACATGGGGAGCACAGTGAAACCCTCCCATCCTTTCCAGTAAAATTCACCAGTGTTCCCACAAAGGTTTAAACATAGGGACATGAAAAGAGTTAGAAATTAAAGAAATATAGCTGTCAGAAGCTGGCCACTTGGGAATGTGTAAGAGTCCTCCTGTGTGGGGTTTCAGCTCTTCCAGTTTACAGGCATCACTTCTGGATTTCAATTTTTTTTAAAAAAGATGCAAAATAAGCAAATGGGATCCTTTGCAACAGAGTCTTTTTCAAACATGCAATCAAAACTTTGGTAGAAGGTTAAAATATAGCTTTAAATAAGTCTTGCTAAAACAGTCCAGACTCTAAAGACTAATTTTTTTCAGCAATACTAGATTTCTTTTTTTCCCCCTCAGTCCTTCAGTGAGACCTGGAAATATACAGCAGGGTTTGCCAGCTGCTGTACAGCTGGACCTCCCTGCACTCCCGATGCTGTCACAGCCAATTGATGCCACTGGCACATCAGGTGTCCAGGGCTGGAATTGCTAGGGTGGCCCTCTGAGACACACTGCACACATCAGCAGACAACTGGCTAATGCACTTAGCAAGTCCCTTTATAGACACCAGGCTTCACCTTGTTTCTTACTGTGTACCAAAGGTGTGAATTAATCAGTACTAGCATGCAGTCTAACATGTTTTATTGATCAATTGATGATGCTCCAGAAACCTACATCAAATCGAGACTCAAAGAGGAAACACAAAGGACCTGCGCTATTTTTTTGTGCATTTAATAACCCTGCTCATGTTAGATCCAAACGCAACCTCTTTTTGTGAAGTGACTCTCTCCTGAAGTTTTTGAAAAGCCAGAGAAAGCAGCTTTCTTGTTCTGGTTTCGATAACAAGAGGAAAAGTTTTCTCTACCTTTAAGATACTCCACCAAAAATGTCAAATAAAATCAACAAAATGTACATTTAGGTTGGATTCCATGAAAAGGAACTATATCCTCACAGCTGCTGTTCACTGGAGTTAGTGCCGCAGCTACAGCACCCTCCCTGTAGTTGGAAGGTACTTTTACATGCAATTAGCGTCAAGCTCGTTAGAACACCCTCACTACCTGACAGCTCTCATCATCCCACGGACAGGAGCAACTGAGGAGCTTCAATCAGCCGTGTCTGTCGGGTGAGCTGAGGTGGTGCAGAAGTGGGCATGCTTTAATGGGGCAGGTGTGTAGGGAAGAAATACTGTTCTTTATTCAGAGACCAATTATTGCAGACAATAGCTGGCATTCATAGGACATTTCCAACCCCACAGTAAAAGCACAAATAGAAATGCAACTATGGCTGGGACAGAGAAAATAAACCAGAGCACCCCAGTCCCGGTGCAAGCCAGAACTCCTTTGATACAGAACAAGTGAAAAAACTCCTACTCCTTTCAAAAATAAAAAGAGAAGTTTCGGTACTCAGTCATATTTAAATCAAGGCACAAATTATGGGATTATCCTGAAACTTCTTGTCAAATGTTTAAAGTATGGGTGGAGTTAAAAAAGTACACAGTATTTCAAGAGGTCCCAGGTTTCCTGAGGCACAGTCTGTGCTGCCAGGAAGTCCATCACTTAACTATTCAGCTCCTTGAAGCTGGGCAAGAACAGGATCAAAGCTGGATTATACAGCTCTGGGGATATCTGTGGCATGTGCAGAACACCAATAACTGACACAGCAGACACAGCTTCTCTGGCTAGCAGCAGTGGCATAAAGATTTTGGTAAACTCCAGAGGCATATTTTCAACTGTGAGCTAAGACCACGAAGAAAAGGTTGTTAGAGAGCTTTCTTTTGACTGCTAAAAACAAAGAAAATAAAATCAAAAGCTCTCAAAGCAAGTGGCCAGTAGTGTGTAGCATCTTGAACAAAGCATCAGCATCATCCATTCTAAAAGAGGTCTAAACCTTAACCACAGGGAAAAAGAACCCAAAACCCAACAAACCCACAAAAAAACTCCCAAAGCACGTCAACCTATACAGAATACACCGGGAGGCAGATGGTCATTGATACAGTCTGTAATAGCTTTACTGACTTTTCTGTTAAAATGGATGTGACAGAAGAACTCCTCTACTTTGCAACACTCCTTAAGATACCTGACAGCTTTCATGAACTTTAGATCTGCTTTTACTGGATGCATTTATAGAAGTCAGAAAAATTCAGATTTTGTAGGAAAAAAAATGTTCTCGTAGCTGTGATTTTAATTTCACTGTTATAGAACGTGTTGGAAGATGTCTTTTTTGTAGTTTTCCTAGAATTGAAAATATTCAGTATATTATATAGAATTTTAGCAGATATTAAATATATTAAAAAAATATTTTCTCCTACACATTTCTCAAGCAAACATCCCTGACAATTTCTGCTGGCTATAATCTGCATTAGATTTTCTGGATGGTCTTTTACTTTGGCCTAATACATTAGTCCTAAATATCATAAAATAAAGTAGATAATCTGAATCTCCTACAAAGGAAATGAAAATATTAAGGGGGGAAAAAACCTCACTGCCTAATTTTTTATGGAATAGCTCTTCTCCAAAAAGGTGGTGATAAAACCAATTCTTTTTTAAATTCAATTTATTTGGTGTTTTTATCTAGTCAGTCACATTGACTGATGCTACGGGTAGAAATTGAGACAAGGAGGGAAGATGTTTTGATTTCTGTTAGACCAAAAGATCAAGGTAATTGTGATGGGAAACTGGAAAATGAGCTGGAGTCCCTTCTGTCTGGCATGTTAATGGCAGGTTTGTTAACAAAATGACAAGCACAAGGCTATCAGCGCAACACGACTCTCTCAGTTCTGCTCTCAGCCACATATGTGCAGCTCCAGGCTCCAGTGATTCACATGAAACTGGAAACAGAGCTCGGCTTCAGGAATCTGAGCTGCTGCTGCCAATATAAGACAGAAATTGTGCAACTGGACTTTAAGATCCCAAGTCAGCTTGCACAGCTAAAAACACTAAATCCAACTATAATGTTTCTGAACAACGTGGGGTCTCTTCCAAGTCTCTTGAGCAGAGAGTGTATTTTCTCTGCACTGTTTACAAAGTATGTAGCACAAAATGGGATCTCAATCCCTGAACAAAGCCTCTAAATTCACAGCTGAATAATTATTAACAGAATTGAAAAGCAGTTTTCATGAGGTTATATTTAATGTAGTTCATGGATGCAGCCACACAAACTTGTTACAGTATAGCTTGGTTTTTTTCCTTTTCTAATAGGAAAATTCAATTGACATAGAGCAAATGACAGATTAACAATACTGTGAAAGCCACTGACAGTGTAGTATGCCCAGGTGTTTCCTAAAAGCTGTGGAATTAGAAGTAACACTATAGCACCCCAGACAACTTCAGAAGGTACAGCAAGTCCAACGTACCAATAAGAGGGAAAAAAAGGAATAATAAATAAATCCAGTTTCTTTCAACAATTTTTTGGCCAACTTGATCACTCCTCACATAAAGACTCCACATCCTGTGCCTAAAGGAGGTATATAAATTGAGATTTTTAAACTTAATCCATACTTTGTCAAGTGATACAAGATAATGGTTGAGTAAACTACTTTAAAGTAGTACTGCTTTAAAAGCTACAAGGTTGTAAAAGGTATGTAAATTCATAAACTTAGATCTCATTTAATGTTATTTTCTAATGTAATTTACCTGTCCAATGAAGCTGCTTTCATATTCAGAAATACAAAAAAGATCTTAACAATTACTTCATAAAGATCTAGAAAATACTGTCTGAGTATGAAGCTCATAAAGAGCTTCAGCAATATTCAAAAACTGTTTTAAAATAACTTGACATAATTGGACATACACTAATATATTTAATAACCAGAGAAGACTTTGAAGCTAATCACAAAGCAACACTATTCTATCACGGTGACCCCAATTATTGCTCAGGCTAGAAGAAAAGCTACAAATGAACAGTAAGATGAAGCTGTGAAGACTGGCAGCATGAGAAAATACCCGTAAAAATATATTATTATAGTTATAAGCATAAGCAGAGGTTCTGTTATAACTACAAGTCAGCTTTAACTGATGAAGCACCTTGAACACAGGCATGGTTATAGCATTAGACTTCTCAATTTTATGTAATATAGGAATTCAGCCTAAAAAGACTTCTTCATCCCTCCTTCTAGATGCCTTAGAAGTACTTTATACATGCTGAGTATCATTAGATGGAGGTGAAAACCTGCATGTTCACACAGATAACATACACATCTTAAAAGCTAAACAGGAAGTCAGAACACTTGATTTTCACTGAAATAGTGAGATCACCTAATGAGCTTTGGTGGTTTTTTTCTGGATGGGAAAGTCAGATATTGTAATTTTTCAACTTCTGGCATCATTATCTGGATGGTAAGTAAATTCTGTTCCTGAGGTAGCTTTTTTCCAAGGCCATGTAATTGTATGTCACAAATGGATTCAATTCATGAACTTAGAGAAACAATTTGGAAATAATTTCAATTCTGCTAATAGGAAAAAAAAATATAAGCAGTTGCCAAAATAAGGATGGCTTTCAACCTTATCATGACTTCAGCTCTGGATAAAAGAATATGCATATCAAATTAAAAGCCATCTTTAGTTTCCTTATTTAGTAAACTGACAGCTTTATACCACATCTATGCTATGTCTGTGTACTCCTACCCTATAATTTGTGACCACAAAAACTGTATCCCCCATGTAGAAAAACCTAACAATGTATGTCCAATTCACTTCAGTCACCAATACAAACTCTCTGAATCTATCCCTGTATTCCTCCTCTGAGTTCTCCTTCACATAATCCCAGGCAATATAACCTCAAGCCTTACATGCACTATATTTCTGATCTCTGCTCTGTGCAACTTGCACATAACAGTGATTTGTACCATGAAATCTGAAGCATGATAACCACAGCCATGTCAGAAATTGCTACAAGACAGGCTTCTTCAGACATAATTGCAAGTTGCTGCTCAAGTCCAGCTTAGTGGTCTTTCTTGAGTCTTAGTGACAAATCACTGTCTCAGCTCACTTTGTAGCCAAGACTAATGTGTGTTCCCAGCAGACTGCAGCTCCTGGAGGCATATCTGCTTTGCAGACCATAGTGTAGACCCTAACAAAGATACAGCACAGGAAGGTGCGTGCATAGTCTTGCTAACAGCTGGTAAAGGTCTTGGTCCATCATTATTTTAAACTGCTCAGTCAATCAGTCTCCATATTCCGGTAACTTCTGAGGCCATACCTGAACTTACAAATAGTCACTCTGAAAGAATCAAATGTCTGCAACAATGCACATCCTCCAGAAGTCAAACGTTGGTAAAGCTGCATAGATTTAAGAGCAGAAGGATGATGAAGATGGTAAATATTGTAAAAGAGGTCAAGAGACTACACCAAATGAAACCAGGATATCAGTCCTGAAGACACAGATGCAGAAACATGGATTTTTTTGCTTCAATTCTAACTGCTAATTGAAGGAAAGCCAAAATCAGAAAACATGATTAATTACCAAGATGACTATATTTCCTTAACTAAACTCAGATGCCAGGGGTCCATAATGAAGTCTTCCAAGCAAATAGGATATTATGGCACTGTATTATACAACTGAATGGAAAATTCATTCCAAGACAATGATGTGTTTACCTTCACATGGAGATTAGTTATAGGAGCACTGTCAGCACTTAAGGCAAACCATTCACAGTACATTAAGGAGGCAATTAGAGCAAAAACCATCTTCAGCATTATTGTTCTTACTAATTAGTAGTAGTCTACAGACACCAGAACATCAATAATAATATGAACAGCCAATTTGTACCCTCAATTTTCAGGAAAAAGAAAACAACTAAAATACATGTTTTTGTCAAGAATTGAAACGTATATTTAACAAGGTATTATCTACATTAACGGTCCCTTGGGCTTTCTACAAAACTGTTCAAATAATTAGGCTTTCACCTGCTATTTTTTTAACTCTGTACACAAAATCATTTAAAGGCACAGAAGAAATAGACCTGAATTTTCAAAGCATAAAGTCATTCTGCATGTCCATCGTGACATGACTTTCAACAGCATCCTTTTCAAAAAATGCAATCATTGGCAAAAATTAGTTCAATAGGTTTTATTTAGCTCAGAGCCCCAGATTATCAGGGGGAGCGACCAAATTCTTCAAGCACTGATGTGGTGATTTGGGGACGACACAAAGACAGCATGTGCATATACAGAGGTTGAGGGGCCTTGCCAAAGGGTGGTTACTTACCTTCCCACTGGCCAGTCAGCACAAGACTCCTGCTAATGACAATGTCAATCTCTCTGGCACCATATTCCACAGCCAGCTTTATTTCAGCCAGTTTGGTTTCTAGAGGAGTTTGTCCAGATGGAAACCCAGCAGCCACTGGCATGAAAGGGGATGCAGGTAGAGGGAAGAAATGTTATAGAAAAGTTTTAAAGTTTTATAAATTAACCATAAAATTGCACATACCTCTAATACACCAAAAAGTTTGAAAGTTATTCTTTTTTTTATCCCTACCATGATTCAAAAAATCCAAAGGCACTTCATCCTACCTCCTCTTCACCCACAAGAAGTATTAGCTGTACCCTCAAAATCCAGTGTCCAGCATGATATTAAGTGCATCTTGTGAAAAGATCTTTCACGTCTTAAAATTTTTCCAGATCAGCCTACATAAAAAGCAAAATATCTATTGCTTCAGCAGAACTGAGCAAACAAGAAGTGAACTCAGATATGAAGCAATACATACATTTTTAATTCTCTCCAATTTTTTTAAGCAGTATCTCAAGTTAAATCATAATAATATTGTTTAACAGCTAAATCACGATACAGCAAAAATTGCTTTCAATGAGGTCTATTTAGGATTATGTTTATGATGTTTAAGTACAAACCCCAAAGGTAACTTTGGAAATGGAAAAAATAATGGCTTTTTCAGAGGTTGTCTTTCTCTGACATATAAATGCATTTAGTATGTATTTTTCCCAAACACAACAATGAAACAACAAAAAAAACCTCACCAGAAAAATGGATCTTAGCATTAAGCATCTAATCTAACTTCAAAGTTAGCCCCTGCTTTGATCAAGAGGTTGGATCAGGTGGCATCCAGAGCTCCCTTCCAGCCTGCATAATTCTTTGATTCTACTTCTTGCTTATTGTGGATTCAGGACTTGTCTCTCCTGTGCGGTGACTGGAGAAGAGCTGGCACTGTTGGAGAGCTGTATGTAAAGGCTCTGAACCTGTAGGCTGCCCAGCAGGCAACAACCCTCAGCTCTGCACAGATTTAGGATGTGCTGGTTTGGGCTGGGATAGAGTTATCCTCATAGGAGCTGCTATGGGGTTGTGTTTTGGATTTGTTCTGGAAACAGTTTTGGTATTACAAGGATGTTTTGGCTACTGCTGAGAAAGGCTTGCACAGAGTCAAGGTCTTTTCTGCCTCTCACCTCACCCCACCAGCGAATGGGCTGGGGGTGCACAAAAAAACTGGGAGGAGACACAGACAGGACAGCAGACCCTAAACTGCCCAAAGGGATATGCATTCCACATGGCATCATATCCAGCATATAAATTAGGGTTAAATTTGGCTGGGGGCTACTGCTTGTGGTGAGCAACTGTCTTGTATTTGTGTCATTTGTCTCACTTGTGTTTTCTTGCTTTTTTTTGTTATTTTCCTTTTCATTCCATTTATTACTATTAGTATTATTAGTTATATTTCATTTAAATTATGAAACTGTTTTTATCTGAACCCACAAATTTTCTCACTTTTACCCTTCCAATTCTCCTTCCCTCCCCAGTGGGGGGAGGTGTGAGTGAGCAGCTGTGTTGCTTAGTTGCTGGCTATGGTTAAACTCTGACATAGGATTACACTTAAAAGCTAAACAACTGATAGGGAAAATAAACCTTGTATTAGAACTCCTATTATTATCATCATCATCTTCATCTACTTAGTGTGCACTGATACTTATCCAGCACACTGTCTCAATTTTTTCTATTCAGGTAAGGAAAACACTGGTATATTTTAAAGACCTTTTTGAAGAGCTTCCAGCAAAACAGACTTGGTATTACTGATAAGCTTGAAGTTGAAAGAAAACAAAAGATTAGACCAGAAGAAAATCCTCCCCTCCATTCCCTTCCTTCCACCTGTTACCTTTTCACCTTACTCCCTGACACAAAAGCAAGCCCAAACTTCTGGATTTTTCCACATATTTTATAACATCAAAATATTTAATTGTATATTTTTGAATAAAGCTTACCTGAAGCTACTGGTATGTTACAACCAGCAGCCTTTAGGGTATTAACAGCATCGGTGACTCTTGCAGGATATACACAAACCGCCCCAACAGTAATGCCTGCAAAAGCCACAGTTCACTTTTTCAGACATATAATTCTGCCTTCTCGAGTGCAGTCCACATAATGAGCACATGAGCATTGTTCTCATCTCCCACTTCTGCATTCTCACAAGGATCTTAAGCACCTCCACCAGGGATGTTTGTTCTATTGCTGAAACGGTTCAGGTAGTTCTCCATATTGTTTCCTCCCTCGTGTTCCTTCACCTGACCCTCGGAGCAAGTCTACATCAGCAGGAGTTAGAACTCCAAGATATTTATCGACAGATTCACAGTTTAATGCCAACATATACAGCTAAGACACACTTAAACAGCAAATTACTGTAAGACAAACTGTTCTTACTTGTTGAGCCAGACTGAGCCCAGCAGCAACTGAGCAGCCTTTATGTTATTGCAGTCCTACTGCATTTCTAGTTAAAATGCTATCCTCTCAAAGTCTCAGATAACTGACCTCATATTTAATACTTTCACTGTCTGAAGAGTCCATAAATCCAAATTTTAAAAAGAGACCAATCTTTGATATTTTATATATATTGCTTAAACCACAGGCCTGATTCCCCTTTGGTTCTACACCATATGACTTTAAACAGTGGACCAAAGCCATTTCTGAAAATTGGAAAATAATGAGGAAATGCAGACATTTTCTCTACAAAACACACACAACAAAAGCTACCATACCCTTATCATGCATGTCCAAGGCTTTGAGCAGATCTTCTCTGATAGGATGCTTTGCTTTAAAACACAGTCTTTGAACATTTGAAGGAGTGTCATCTCCTGAAAGAGTGGTGAGGTCTATGCAGGTGACAGCTTTCAGCAGCCAAGCAGCCTACAAAGGGAGTAAAACAAGGAATACAGAATTTTCACTTACAATTCCAAAGTCAAACTGACTCAGAAGATGCAGGAATCAGAAGCCTGGCACTCACTCTGGCAACGAGGAAACGTAGAGGATATAGGATAGAGGATATGCAAATAATGGCTTATGTTAGACAGGTTTGGCAGATAATTATTCATGTCTTGAGCAGTATCTAATGATACAGAAAAGATTTGGAATCAGAAGTCCACTCTCAGAACCAAAGGATCAAATTCCAATTTTTGGTGCAAAAGCTGACTACCAAATGGGGCTCTTTAAGAATCAGTCATTTTTATCTAGAAAAAAAGCATCTTGTTTCTGTAAGACAAAGATAAAAACCACCTGTGTGAGATACCTCACTGCCATAATATGCCTTGTATACATACAGACAGCATGTCTGTATCTTTAAGGGTTGTATGCACAAGAAATTATACACATGCTTCAAGAGAGGCACAGCAATCGACAGCACTCAGACGAGTCTACACATCAGCAGTTTGCACACTTGCATGTTTGCATGCTTATCCTGCTGTGAGAGTGAAACCTGGAACCGGGGGGTTAAGATCCCAGGCTTCTTCAAACTTAGGGTCTAGACTCCAGATATTTCCACTTTCTTTTGTATCAATGAGGAGTCAAAAACAATTCTGTAATTATTTGGTGCAAAGTTAAAAATCAAAAGCAAGAACTGAGTGACAAGGCTAAAGCACTCTTTATATGAAAATGCTACAGAATTTTAAAATACTTATTAATCAAAGAATGGAACACAAGTATAACTAAAAATTTTATGAGCTTTTTTGTTGAACAGATGTTGAGCGTAATACATTCTTTTGAAATATCTGTTGAAGATCTTTCAGCAAATGTTCATTTACAGTGATGGCTTCCCTACAAGCTGACAACTCTTACTAGGCACTTGTACAAGGGGTGTTTGCAACAGTAAAGTCCACATGAGTCCACAAACCCCTCTCTGATTGCTCTGCTCTGTGACACGATTTGTCAGTACAGGCAGCTAAGCTTGTTTCTGCATGAAGGTATTACTCTGCAAATCTTCCATGGCTGGCCTGCCTACAAAGCTTTCACACTTCACTGATGGGAGTCTCCTTTTGGCACCTGCAGCAAATGTGACACTGAAACCTGCTTTGGGGTGACTCAACAGAGTAATGAACCATCACTGGCCTCTGCTAGTCTAAGCTTGACTGCTTTCTAACTGATTTCTCCTTTCACCCTGTAATACTTCAAAAGGGTTTTTCACTTTAAATGGTTTTGTGTTTCTTCTACTTGGTTTTTTTTATCCTTCGTTCCAGGGAATTTTCGTCTCATCTCTTATGACACGAATCATAAACTCATCAAGACAGATGTAGTCAGGGAGTTCCAATAACTTTGGGGGTTTTTAAAGGGTTTTCCAAAAGTGTATTTTGGGAAATGGGTTGCAGCATTTGAATCTGTGATGCTCCTTACATTCAAACACACAAAAAGGTTCAAAATCATCTCTGAAATAAATAGCACATGACTATCCTGCAACGACAGTGTTCAAATACAGGAGACATGCTTCTGAAATTCTTCAAAGTAAAACCTTGCTGAAGTACCAATGTTTCTAGACAGAAGGGTGGAGCAGTGTTATTAATAAACATTTGTCCTCCAGCTGTGTTGTGGGAGTGACACTAAATCCCTTTCTTCCAAACGATTCTTTGTAGTGAAAGCCTGTGGCTCTCTCTCTCTGTTAGTTATATAGTAACTTTGGTCAAATCAGACTTTCTTTTTACACTACTGCACCTGCAGTATCTGAGGACAGACAAGATTATGAAATACCCTCTGGATTTTCTCCCTGACACTATTTCCCAACTCAGAACTACTGGACTGATTACCTTGGTATCAAGTAACTTTTTATGCTCAAGAAACTTATAAAAAAACATTGAGCTAGTGTCTAACTTTCCTCAGTTTATGTCCATTTTTTTATTTAATCATAACACACAAAGTACAAACTTTCAGGAAGGAAAAATAGGCAGGAAGATTTTTTTCTATCTCCTCCCAGTAGGATCTTACAGCTACATCAAATTTTCCCCAAATTGTCATCCTCAAGATCTGTGCTTATTGTGAACACAGCTTGAGCCACTCCAGAATGGCTGCACAGCATGCTGGGCTAAGGATGTCAACTATTTTGAACAATTTTTTCAAGAATTAAATGTAATTAAATGATTCTTGCTTTGTTGTATTATTGTTCCACTGTTAAGACTGATCCTTCACTGACTTCTTCCTCCTGCTTCCAGGTTTTCAGTTACTGCTGCACTCAAACCACTTGTTTAGTGAGCAGAGGGGACGAATCCCATGAATCTTCTTGCAGAACAGCTGTTTGGTGAATGAAGAATCAGTCTGTCTTTTGGACACCAGTTAGAACCCAGTGGCTGGGAGCTCACTGGGAGCTCCAGGTCTGCTGCACAGCATTTCTCAGATCTTGTCCTTGGCCGAATACTGCTGCCAAACTGCTCAGAGCATCCTGCAGCCAGTTCTGCTTGCCATTCCCTTCTCGGCACTTCCCATCCTGCCACTGAGGGGGCAGAAGCCAGCACGTGGCCGTACCTCATCTGTCCTGCACCACAGAATACATCAGCTTACGCTGGTGACTGAATGGTTCTGTGTAATGTATGAACTGGAGAAAACAAAATGCACACCAGGCCAGTATCTGTCAACTCTGCCAGGAGGGCAGCAACCAGCAGAGGTTGAGGGTAACTGCTAAGACACTCTAAATGTGTGTACAATGAATTCAAGTCAGCCCTGAAGAGAAGTTCATTTGCACCACTGGCTTTAGCGATGCTTTACATGAACTTATTTTATATAAGATGGAAAATAACCCACCATTTACCTTATCTCAGCAGTTGAAAAGTCAGTTCCCTTAACATTAGTGGGCTCCTTCCACCCTTCAAATGCCACAGCCAGTCAGTTGGTTTTTTTAATTTTAGGTAAAAACTAGTTAAGCAATGGAATCACACACGTTGGGAGTGTTTAAGTAAAGAAAAATCATCCAGGTAGGTCAAACTTGACAGGGACCATGATCATATCTTACAGCTTTAAAATTGAAAAAAATAAGAAGGCAGCATGCAGAGAAGTCTGTCTGGGAAACAGAATAAATGTGGTGGGATAGTAATATACAATTTAATCCACTCATGAATAAAGATGACTTAAATCCATTTGCGGTTTTGCCACTCATGAGTTATAAGGTTTTTAACTTGTTTGGATAAATGCGTCACCTTATTCCATCCCATCATCATCAAATACAAATTATTAAAATAAGACATGGACAAGCACACCTTTTAAGTTTACATGTATCTTGAAAAAAATTCAATATTACAGCCTGGAGAGGGAGAGCAACTGCTTTAGAAATACAGGAACAGAATGCATAAGAAGAGCACTTACTTGCCAATTACCTTTCAAAGTTTTCCATTTTTTAATTTGTTCTGCATGCATCACAACTGCAGGTCGATTCACATACACTTTTGAGATCCAGCCAAGTTCTGGGAGGAAAAAGAAACCAACAAAAAAGTGTCGTCTATTTCTGCATTCTTATAATATATGGTGTGGTACTTCAGAAGAAAGTTGTAGCTTGGTTTGGAACCTCTGAAGAGCATATTGTGCTTTCATGTCTTTTTAGGGACTTGTGTACTTATCACCAGTCCAAAATAGCATTAACTTCTGTTAGAGTATGATCTGTGAACTGGATGTTTCACACGGCATGTTTTGTTTGCCATTAAAACTGAATTAACTTAGTGCTGATGGGAGACATTATGTTGCCAGTCCTGGACTAAGAAGTTTATTATACATGTAGCATGAAAAAGAAAACCCACTCACAAAAGAGCCTTCTGCCATTGCTCGCTGATTTACTTCTTTATTCTGAATAAATAGTAACACTTATTCAGCCCTTTGCTTGTCTGCTGAGTCCCAGGATACAACAGCATTTTGTGTGTGCGTGAACCTTTGTGTACAGAAACTGTATTCCACACACTCAAAAAAAACCCTGGACAAACTCATTTATAACAAAGCATTTAGGTTGTTATTGTCTGGAGCTAATGCTATGAATTTGCTACTAGGGCCTGATTAACTGCAGATTTCCAAAAGTACTGAATTCCTGGGCACTCCGCCCTTCTGGAAGCAGCCTGAGAAGTATTCAACTTGCCAAGCACCTGGGAGGACTCAGGGCAACATCTTCAACGTGTGAATTCCTTCAGGTGCCCACTGAAGGGAGACTGGCTCACAACTTCAATGAGTTTCAGTATCCATGAACAATAACACAAAGCGAAGCAGATGCTCAACATTTACTAAAGTAATGAAACTGTCCAGAACCAGAAGAACCAAGTACTAGACTCTGCTTAATGAAGGCTAAGGAAACTGAGTGTTCAGGCTCTAGAATCTTTGAATTTTTGCTTAGTATGATAAACCAAAAGTGTAATTTTTAATATTAATATACACAAACTGCTCATGGGACTACACAGGAAAAAGAAATTGGAATATCTTTAAAATCTCTCATATCCCAAAACCAAATTATTTTTCTAAATACTAATCATATAAGCATTCCATGAAAATACTCTGACAACAACATCAACAATCATTAACTACCGATCATCAGCAAATCACCCCCATCAATCATCAAATACCATCACCAGTTAAGGTCAGAATAGGGACATGGGCATAGATACTAGAAAATAATAATTCTGTGTGACTGACTTTATTAAGAGCATCTTATCTCTATGAATCTTCTTTACCACTGCACTGAATTTGCATTTTCCTCGAGTATATTGATTTAAAAAAAGGTTTAAAACTTGGAACAAAGAAAAAGCTGATAGCCAAAATCACTAATTTGGTACAGAAATCTTACCCTTGATAGCTTTACTAGCCAAAAAAATAGCAGAAAACTAGCCAAAGTATGTGTAAATAAAAGCTCATTTTCCTAGACTTACACAAAGCTGCAAAGAAACCAATTTACAGTAAATATGACTCACTAGAAATGCAGGACAAAAGCATTAATAGCTAAATAAAATCTTGTTCTGAGCACAGTAAGCCACTGTGCTACCACTTTTCTATTACTAAATACAAAATATTAATGAGTGGTGTCTACAAGGTCAAAATTTTGGCTAAAAGCAGAAAAAGTAAATCAATTAAGGAATTTCAAAGGAATCCTAAAGAATTTATGGATTTTCTTAGAATCTAGCATCAGACTCACTGCATGGCAACAAGGAAAAGGAGTGGTTTGCAACTCTGTAAACCAGGTGTACAACAAACTCGTTACTTCTCTCTATTTTCAAAGCTACAGGTTTATCCATTCTGCCCCAAAAGCAGGAAGCTCAGCTGACATGTGCAAAGCAGGTGAGAAAAGCTATTGTTACAAAAGCTATGGCTAGAATTTTCCTCCTTTTTGCCTGTCAATAAATGCAAATTATACAGGCAGCTGAAACATAGACTAGTGAAACCTCTGCATCCCCTGCAGTTGCCTTAAGCTTGAAGTTCCTACGTGATCAGCAGTGCCCATACACCACTTCCCACGGGGTATATTGACAAAGTCCACGAGGGAGGAAAACACAACTAACTAACTAATCAACAAACTAATAAATAAATAAATATATAGATAAATACATACATACATACATAAATGAATAGATACATAAAAGTAGAAAACACAAACTCCGTGTTATGATTCTCCTACTATGTGCCAAGTGCTTAGGTAGCATCATTTAATCATAATACCATTTATTATTATAGCTTTTGAGCCCTACTGGGTGCACATCAACCTTTTAGCCCCTTTGGAAAATGTGATAAAATAAAAGAAAAAAATTTAGATTAAGAAAATCAGCTTCTCATTCTCTGATAAGGATCCTTTGAGTTAGTCTACTCTAACCTATTCTTTCTACATTACTAAAGACAACCAATAAATACAACAATTAATTTATAAAAAATTCCAGCCTTCTGGAGAAGAGTTTGGGGGAACATGAAGACAGTGTCCAGTCTGCTACATAGGGAAAATTCAAGTTTGAGATGAAAATTTAAATGAAAGAACACAAATCTCCCCCATGAGATTAACTGTGCATTAGTCATCATTTGCAGAGGATTCAGTCTGATTCATTGTGTGCTGGCCTGGGTAGAAACATACATACAGCTGTTGTATCTACCCCACCTGACTCCTGAGCTCCTCAGAAGGTCTGAGGAATCTTCTCAGAGCACAGAGCACTGCACTAGATTAGCTTAAAGGAACCAGTATTGTGCCATTTGGAGAAAGTAAAAAAAAAAAAAAAAAGTAAACTCATAACCAGTGGAAGAAAAAATGTGGAAGAAGTGTGGAAGTGAAATAAGTTACTACTCTTGCTTTGACCAAAGTCACCTGTGAAAGTTACCAAGTATCAACTGATCAGCAAGGACTGACCAAATGTTCTTTGCAAATATGATAAAATTCATTGGCGTAAGCCCCTTCCACTGTGTAACACATTTACCTTCTGTTTTCAGCAAGTCAAGGCTAGTCACGAAGGTAACCGGCACATGGTAACTCAGTAACGTCTAATATTTAATTCTGGTGCCTGAGACACAAGTCTCCTTGAAAGATCATAACATTTGGACCTGAATGTGGGATCTCAAACTACTGTGCACAGCACAGGCAGAAAATTAAAAAAAAAATTAAATAATTTTACAAAATCAGAACTCCATCCTTTTTGTACAGCTTAATGTATGCAGCCTACTATGGAAAATAAAATGGTGTCATAAAAATTGCACAGCAAGGAAGGACAAAGGTTCTCGTAATACACAGCAGCAGATGGAGACTTCCATCTAACACAGACCTTTTATTCAAGCCCATTTCTACATTAATTAAAGCAATGGGCAAGTGAAAACAAATATGTCTCACTGTAATCGTCTCAAAATAGACTTTCAAAGTTTGCCATGTGAGGTCTCACCAAACCTTCAGATGTAAGTATCTCTATTCAGCAAAACCAATCACAATTCCAGCATTTTTTTTTCCATTAAAAATCAGAATAAACCCATTATTTGAAATAGAACTGACTGTCTTTGGATTCTTGCCCTCCCTCACTCCCCCAAGCTTTATGATTTAGTATCTGGCTAAGGAAAACTATATTTAATTAGGCTCATTAACCTTGCAGTGTGAACATGTCTTTTTTTTTTTTTTTAAATAAGTCATCTGCTAGTCATCTGCACAGTCATGTGGCTTCAGGGATAAAAGTAATTAAAGCAGTTACACTACAGCTAATTAGCCAATATTCTGTAATCACTCTTCAAGTTTACTTTTTTCTCTGAAGACATTTGAAAAAATCATATTCAATTTCTTAACAGGAAATTCATCTCCTCTCTTTGAAGAACATGAACCCAAAAATACTAAGCATTTCCTCAGAAAACAATAAATAAAACCACTTCATTAGGATAATTACATAAATATCTAAGTTACCTAACACATTCTTCATAAAACCAACTAAGCTTTCCAAAAGCTTTAAAAAATGTGTCGATGGCATCCCTTCAGATGGTGAAACAGAAAGCTCAAGAATGCCTGAGGCAGTAGTTTCACAAGCATTTTAAGGCAGCACTGTCCCCAAAAGAAGCTGCATCCCAACTGATAATTTCCTTCTCTGTGCCAGAAACAGCATGTGTGCTCCTGCTCTTACCATGAACACCCGATAAAATGAGTAAGGGAAGTGATGAAAGCTTTTATTTCTGGAGAAGAGAGTGAAACTGCATCCTGAACCTTCAGTGGAAAATGAGGCAACTCAGCTGGACACAGGCTGACCCCAGCTGGCCATGCAGAGCTGAGCAAAGCCACCGAAGAGAGAGAAAAGGCTTCATGATCGGGTCTTGTTACATACAGTTGTCTTACCATGTAAGCTGTTTAGAGATTTGGGGTTATTCAGTTTCATGAAGACAGAAGCTTTAATTATCTTTCACCAGTGACACTTGCTATGGACCAACAGGTCCATATTTTTGGATTTTTTTTCTTTATATGAAAGAAGTTCGGTCTCAAAGTCATCTGCATTCAGATATTCAATGCAGGACATGAAAGCACAAGTCCTGAAATAGAAATCAGCTCTACTATCTTGTGACATTAGTGAAATCACACAATGGATCATGGTATCCTTCAAAGCACTTTGAAAAACATTGACAAGTCTTTCCTCAGAAAGAAAGCTGCAGATATAGGGGCCCGGTTTCCTGTAGATCCAAGTCCCCCGTTGTTCCTTCTCTTCTTCCCAGGCTTGAGACCTCTCCTCACTCCAATAACTCCGCTGTCCTGACATAGTCCTTACAACCATGGACTAAAGCAGGATGTTGTTACTTGCATAAAGCCCAAACAAACAAGTTGCAATGAAAATTTATGGAAATGCTGATCTGTGCCTACCTTTCTCTCAACAGAGGGACTAATTTGGTCACTCCACCCAGTGCCTTACTTATTTGAGACATCTACCTGTCCTTCAAATTTGATTAAAATTATCCAGCAGATTCAAAAGGTGTTAGAAAGGAACAGTTAAGAACCAAAACCACAGTACAGGATAAAACCAGCTATTAATATATTAGAACAGAATTATGCTGTCTTGAAAGGGATGCAACACTTCATTATCTAAATGCCACTTACCAACAGACCAGCTCTCACATGTAAATGGCTCAGAAATACCAACTATAATTAAAAACATCAATTGAAACATAATGAACGTATTTCTGGCCCTTCAATTAGAGGGTCTGAGCAACACAGATAGATTCTAGGGTTTTTAGATCCCAGAACATTGCAAAACAACTGTAACTAATTACTCATTAATCAGAATATACATACATATATGTATATACACAGACATACATACACACATAGAGGTAAAAACCATATAATCATAGAATAACTTGATCAGGAAGGTCTCTGAAGGTCACTCGTCCAAATTCCTGTGCAATGCAGCATCAGCACTGAGCTCAGACCAGGCTGCTGAGGGCTTTGCTCAATGGGGTTTTGAGAGTCCCCAAGGATGGAGACTGCACGGCCTCTCTGGGCAACCTGTGCCACCACTTGACTGTTCTACGTGAAGACGTTTTTCCTTATATCCAGTACGAACTTCTCTGCCTGCTGTCTCACTTCACCTCATCAAGCAATGCTGTGAAGAGCACAGATCTGCCTTCTAGATACGCTCCCTGCAGGATGAGCTGGCAGCTGTCAGGACCCCCAAAAGCCATTGCTTCCCCGGGCTGAACCTGCCCAGCTCCATCAGCATTTCCTCACAGGGCAAGTGCTCCAGCCCTGGACCCACTGTGTTGTCCCTCTGCTGAAGCTGTGACAGGTCATCAATCTCTTTTTCCTATTGGGAAGCAAGAAAACTGGACACAGTCTTCCAGGTATGTTCTAACAAGTGCTGGGCAGAAGGGATGGTCCCTCTCTCCCCATGAACATCCACGTCCCCATTGGCACACCCCAGGAGGCCCCTTGTGATTGCTGGGACTGGTCCTTCCCAAGGTAGGGAAGGACTTGGGGACTCTCTGGGCCTGCTGGATATCTGTTGATCCATTTCCCCAGCCAGTTTGGGTCCCTCTAAATAATCCGGCTACTTTAGTCTCATTTGCAAACTTTATGCAAACTTTTTGTAAACAAGCCACTGCCTCTTCCAAGTCACTGAAAAGAATGTTAAACAGGAGAAGTCCCAGGCTAGATGCCTGTCATGCCCTGCTTGGTACCAGCCCCAAGGCAGAGTATTGACCATCACCTTCTCAGTCCAACCATCAGACCAGGTTTTCAACAATTTCAGTATCTGTCCATCCAAATCTCTCAACATGGATACAAAATACTGCAAGGCAGTGTAAAAAGCCTTGTTGGAGTTGAAGTAAATGGCGTCTACTGCTCTCCCTTTGTCAGCATATCCAACCATTTTACTATGGAAGGCAATTAGGTTGGTTGGGTTATTTACCCTTTTACCAGTGTAACAAATGATAAATACAGTAGATAACACTGTCTGGTTTTAAACTTTCTATTTTTCCATTTTCTGCCTCTAACCAAGGTTACTAAATGTCTTTCTCCATGATTTCTGAAGTTGTTCCATCAAAATTACATCTGCAGGGAACAGAAAACCCGTATGCCTGCATCCCTAAACCAAAGGGGTATGCTACTAGCTTACATGTACAAATCAGATACTCATTGCCATGTTTCTCTGTTTTGTTGTGAAGTGGCATTAGAAAGTTGCATCTGATACTCTTCTGAAATATGACAAAACATGAAACATCTGGTCTATTATAACCAAGCGACTTTGTGAGCAGAGCAGGAGATCACCACTCCTCTCAGGACCTGCAGGCATTGTGGCGAACACAAGTACACAAGAATGACTCCAAAAACAGTCCCTGTGGAATGAAAAACTTGTAAAATTCTTTGTCTGGTTTCTTTACATGACTTTGTGATGGCAAATGTATCAGTGTATTAGGGTAGTGACCCTCTGACTGTGCACATCAGTGTCTTTATCTGTGGAACACATTACCTGTTCTTTACCCCAAGTAAACACCTTCTTCTACAAACACACAGTAATGGGAAGAAGGGAAGGATTAAGGGTTTTTACAAAAATATATTTATTTTACAGAAAACAAACTCCAAACACACGGGAAAGCACTGCATTCCATGATTTGTGAAGAGCTTGGCTTGTTGCTGATAAACAAATAGATGCTTTCTGACGGCAGGATCAGAAATTTACTGCTTAAATAATGACATGTAGCAAACACAGAAATAGACACAGAAAAGGACTGAAATAATATATTTTTAATTAAAATACATTTTACCACTAGATGTCCCTGTTAGAAAACTATAATCCTGCACAATGCTGTGTGAGATATAGGGCAAATCACTTGAATTACTGTTAAAGCTGCTGCCACAAACTTGCAAAACCTTCAAAAACTGAAGTGCCTAAATCACAGAAGCAGTGTGTATTGTTAGCAACCATGAAAGATAAAGGGTTTAACACATTCTTTTTGAGTACTGCTACCAGCTAAGGTATGTTAAGTTCTATATTAAGAACATTGTTGTATTTCAGATGTGTTATCATATATTATCAGGAAAGTGAATGGCAGGGAGATTCAGTTCTCCCTTTAAAGCAGCCAGCATAAGGCAGCTGCTAGAAGCTGCCACTTAAATGTGGTCACCAGACCATTGCCCTACTACACCTGTCCCAAACATCTAACCCAGCTCATTTTGACCACAACTAGTTTAAATGAAGATCACTGGGAAGGGATGGCAACAAGTATCTGCGTATAAGCTGAGGGCCAGTGGCCTTTCCAGGCAAATCAGTAGGAGGCCACAAGGTGCAGCCCTGAAGATATCCATTGCTCTGTGCTCTCTGTTGATAACCTTGAGCATTAGCTGACTCTGCCTCTTAGGCAGGGAAGGGCTACTTACAGGAGAAGACAGAGTTATAGAAAGTATTTGGAATATACTCAAAGATTATTTTACTGGGTGCAAAAAACCGATGATTATGTTGTGCTTGTCAGTAGCACACTGAACACCTTTTTCCTTGACTGTGGCTGCACAGCAAGATCCAGCCAAATGTAAGTGAGGTTGCCCATCTCTTCCAATAATTTCCCACTAGACAGCAAGGTCTTCCTTAAATGTATGCCTCTTGGAGGATGACTGCTTGATAAGAACTGAACTGACTTCACATTCAAGTTTCTGGATTCCCCACGCATACCAACAATTAATTGTAAGACTGAGTTTACAGTCAGAAAAAGCACACCACACACCTAGTTTAAAACAACTGGAGTGTATTTGCAAACTTTTGGGCTAGCTTGTTTTCCTAACAGACACTGAAGTTCTGTCACTGTGTTATTATCATGTTTGTTTCAGCAAAAAGATGCTGTTCAGGTGGCTACGGTTGAAATTCACCTGTCCCTACAAAGAACACACAAACAAGCACATCAGAGAGCAATTAGACAGCTCACTTTTAGGAGCTGCAACATGTCCATGATTTCAGTGAACGAAAACACAGTCAACTCTCACTTGTCCACAAGTTAATAATTTAAACTGCATGCTAATTCTGTAAAACATGCCTGTGCTTATTCTCGTGACAGGAGTGCAGCCACGTGATGCCACGTGCAGCACAGCCTCCTGAACTCTGCTCGTGCGTAGAGATATCCCTGTGCCACACCAGCTGCCCTTTGCTTCCCATCTTCCATGATGCCACCCCTGTACCTCCTGCACCTAATTGTCCACTTACTCATGCTGACCAAATTATCACACCTTAAAGGCAGATTGTAGGCAGGCTCATCTCTTCAGTTCTTTCCACTGCTGCAGTTGGGTTTTGCTGGGTGGAGAAGTGAGAAAGCTGTAGCCCTTTTTTTTTTTTTTTCCCCAGCAATGAGCAGAAGAGAAATTCTCCTAATTGCTTCAGAGTGGCAGAGAAACCCTTTCTTGGCAGCTCTCTGCTTTACCCGAGGCAGAGCCAACTTTCAGGCCTAGAGACCACCTGGAAAATCCCTATCGCTCTTCAGAGAGCAAGCAACAGGGAGAGTGATAAGAAGAGGTGAAGTCCCACGTTTGCAAATACGAATCCAACTAATTGTTTTTAAACCCTTAAAAGACGAAAGAGTGTAGGGGATGATTATTCCGTGAGAACTAGCAAGGTGTTTAAGAGAGGACCAAGCCCAGCTATGTGACAGGACCGGGGCTGTGGAGTCCCGCAGCCCCGGCCGCCCTACAACCTGGTCGGAACCCCTCAAGCGAAAGTCCTGTGTGACACGGAAACCTCAACTTGTGTTCAACCTCCAGTACCAAAGGGAAAACCAGCCTCCTGCCGGCCTCCCGCTTACATGTCACCGGAACACGTTACTAGACCTACAGGACTCGTAGGTCTGTTCGGCTTTTCAGATAGACAAGGCTGTCCATCAGCCTGGCTCCTACACACACCGCGGTGGGTCGGCCGGGGACCGGCGCCCACGCACTCCCCCGCCCGCCCCCGGGCCCAGCCGCGCCGCCGGGAGCCCCTCACACCGCGACCCGCGGCGCCTCCGGGGAGCCGGGCCCTGCCCCGCCGGCCGCCCTTACCCAGCTCGGTGCCCGGGTTCCGCCCCGCCATGGCTCTCCACCCCCGCGGCCAGTCCGGGCGGGGCGGGCAGAGCTCGGCCCCGCCCCGCGGGCAGGAAGCGGCGGCGGGTCCGGCCCGAACGTGGGGCTCCCTCAGCACCGCCACGGGGGCGCCGAGCGCGGCTCCGGAGCAGCCAGCGAGCGGCCTCCCCAGGGCGAGACACGGCCCTTCTCCGGGGATATTCCCGTGTGGATACACGGATATGCCATACCCTTAGAGATACGTAACGCCGAACCTGCCCGTTTGGTTGGCCATGAGTCAAGGCACTTTCCAGTTTCTTCCCGTGGAATCTTCAGGAAGGAACTAATGCCCTAGTGCCACACATACACATGGGCTCTATGAGCTTGACCTGTAAAACTCGTAGTGACACCTGCAAAAATGAAAGTCCCGTAACAAAGCCACCGACAACTTCTTAGTTTTACCTTTTTTTTTTTTTTTTCCCCCGGAGCTGTAAGGACACAAACTCGCATGAAAAAGAAGTACTAAACATTGTTAATACTCCCATTTACATGAAACACCTTCCAGCTTCAGCCCTACTCGTTCAGTGCTAACAAAGAAACCACAAACAGGACCAGGTAAAGCAGCAGAGTGTCACAGCTCTGAAAGCCGAGGACACTTATTTTTGCTTTTCCCACACCAAAACTGCATGTGTTCTTTGAGAAGCAGTTTTTCAAACACAGCACTCTATGAGGAATATATATCATTTGCACTGTGTACTTCAGAATATATTAAAGCAGTGCAGAAGTTACAAACTTTCATGTACTTTGGTCGTTTTGGAGTTTTTTTAATTTCTTGCAGTGTTTTGGTGGCAATTATTGGGTATTAGGTCTGTGTCAGTACTAGCTCTGTTTCATTCTGATTTCTTGTTTTAAACACATCCTTCAAGTTGTAAAAGGAAGTTTCTAGGCTGACATACTAGACTGGGAGACCTCATAAGCCTTAGTGGAATTAATGACAGAGACAATTAGTTCTAAATCAGAAGGTTGGAAGTTGCTAGTTTTTAAAACAAAATTCAGGTAGTTGCAAAACTAATTTTGGAACAGAGTCTGTGAAATAATATACTCTTAACACCTCTGATGCACTAAGAAACCATAATTCATGGTATCACTTTGTGCTTTGTTCTTACTTCCACTCCACCCAACAGGTGAAGCAGGAAGGCGACCTCTGTCAACAAGCCCTCCAAGCAGGTTGGGGTACAGGAATCCCCCTCCCTAGGCCAGATCCACTTGGGTTTTCAGTATCTTCAAGAATGGAGACTTCACAACCTCTGCCAGTGTTTGAGTTGCCCTCACAATGGAAAAGTATTTTCTTATGTCCAGAAGAATTGCCGTTTTTCAATTTATGTTCAAATGTTAAGCTTCAGTTTTCTAAGATGACAGCGCTACTGTACTCTTGGGAAAATCCAAAAGGACAGTAAGGACAAGTATGAATATTAAAATGTAAAAAGGTGTGTGAATAAGTATACTTCTGTATAACTTTCTTCTTTCCATACAGAATGCATTATGTAAAACTTTCAGCATACCATTAAAGGAAATGACAAGTGGAAGAACAGCAATTATTTTCTTTAATGAAGAAAATATGATTTGTAACCTTGAAAGAGTAACTTTTTTATCCAGTCTGGATGACTAAACCCAAGTTTTATACAGATTCGCAGCCAACCTCCGAGATCTTCATGTACAACCAAGTATTTCAGGCAGCACATTTAATATAAGAGTTTTTGTTGTTTTTCATTTTAGAGACTCATGTTTACATTCAAACTTTAAAGAATAAAAAAAGACTCAAAGCTTACAGATCAAAGAACTTGCCACCCTCTGTACAACACTAAAACATTCTTTTGCTTTCCCTCTGTATAGTACAAAACCAAGATGCTAGAAAGGATTACGTGATTAATTTGGTTGCTTTTCCATTTCACGAACCCAATGCTCAACAGTAACATACGAGTTTTGAGAGGCATTTTATTTAGACAACTGAAAACAGTTAAACATTCAGAAGCAGCATACAATGAAACAAAACCCGAACCAAATACTTTTAAGTACATAATCCCTTCTTTTCAACTACACCCAATTCTTCCAACTTTCAAGAAAAAAAAAAAAGGGTAAAAGCCATTGTATCTCTTCTCCATAATAAAGAAAGCACACTACAATGAGTCTAATTGAAATTGGAGAGATTGGATCTTGGCTTGCACACTTCTTTGAAAAGACAGTAGGCAGTTATGCCAGAAAGACAGCAAAACTCTACTACTTGTCTTTTGGGTTTTTAATTGGATACTCAGTTCTCTTACAGACAACACCTAGCCAGTTCCACCGCATTCTCATCAATTACTGCCCATCTTTGCCTTACGTAGAGAGCTCACTCTGGAAGGCTGCTGTTTGTCACTGCTCACTTGATTTAGTCTTGTATGTCCACGTGTCATGTAACAGTTGCAGTAATCAGGCCTTAACTTCAGGAGTTGAGCTGTACACTGTATCTGAGTTTTCAGAGGCAATCTCTTCTGCAACTAAATAAAAATAATTTTATTTAACTTCACCTTAGATATATAAACCAAATAAATGTTGCATGAATTGTTTAAAGACCAGTTCAGTTTGTTTTCCCATTCAGCCTGATCCAGCTATTCAACCCCATCTGTTCAGCCTGCACAGCTCCAGGCACCAGTCTGACACTTACCACATGGTCATTTTCTTGAAAATGTGTTCAAACACCTTTTGAAAAGAGTGAAAAATGCCAGAAGATACTTGAGGGAAACTAACTCTTCCATACTAAAGAATGCTATCATCCTGACTGATCTTTTAACACTTAGCTGAGTAGAAGCTGACAGTTCAGTGCATTACCTATTTCTTCCTCTGCAGTTCCTGGAAGGGTAGCCCTTGCTTTTGCTGCTTCTGCATTCTCCTCTTCTGCAGAGGACAAGAAAGAAATAGTCAGTACCTTCAGTTCCACCTACTCATCCTAATAATAATAAAAACCTAATTTCCACTTAATTTAGTGCTGAGAAGAAACATCTGGGCAAACAATTCCATTAATGAACCTCACTTGCAGTTATTGCTTCCCTCCCCCCAAGCTGAAAGAATGAAAGTACAATATAAAAGTACCATCCATACTTCTTTCTAGAGATTAACTCTTCCAGAATTATAAAGGTGGTATTGCATGTTTCTTGCTCTTTCACATAAAAATACATCAGACTATTTGCTTAAATATCCACCAAGTGTCTATATACAAAAAGCTTACAGGGTTCATTGCTTACATTACAGCTACAAAAATACATCCTCAAATCTATCAGATATGAGTGGATATAGAAACAGTCAGAAGACAGCAACTGCTGCACAGAATTAATTGCTTACTACTAGTGATAGATATTACTTTAAAAGCACCCATGGAGCAGCCAAGTTTACCAGGAAAAAGCACACACTTACCAGGAACTACACATTTCCAAAGACCATAGGTTTTTCCTACTGTTGTCTGCCACAGCCTTAGTGTACCATCCTCAGAGCCACTTGCATATAACTCTCCATCAGGGCTAAATCTCACACAGTGAATTGGACCAAAGTGCCCTTTGTAAGATTCTATAAGAGAACATACCAAGACCATCCATTTCACACTTTGGCCGACAACTGAAATTATTAAGCACAAACCAATCAGAAGAGGAGATAAAAAAAACCACTGATGAGAGGAGGGCACTTTCCCAGTAATCAGCTTCTGACACAAAACAAAGCTTCCATGAATTGGTATCTCAGCAATGTCTAATTTAGGTAAAATATTAATGTTTCATTAACTGCCAGAGAAAAGGTGCTTATTTATTCTAGACAAAAATACAAAGCAAGCCAGCAACACAAAATACACATGCTCTGTTCCTTCAGCCACTCACTCCATACACATACAATTTTTAACAAGGCCAGGATCAATGAAAAAACTAATATGCTTTTTGTTGTAAATAAATTTGGCCATCATCTACCACATTTTTCATAAAAGCAAGCAGCTGACATATCTACTGAATGAATTAGTACGATGCTCAAGTTAACAGTTATGCAGCAATACCATGATTTTTTTTTAAATACGTGCAAAGAGCTGTTGAATATAAGTTTTAATTAGTTCTAGAAGAATAATGTTGGGTATACTGAGATAGGAAAAAATGCTTAAACTGGTAATATACCTTTTCATCCTCTTGCAGAGCATGCTAAGCTAAGACCTTATTTGTGTACAGCAGCTTCATTTACTAGCCATTACTTAATGAATACCCATTTCATAAATCCTTTTTGATTGTAGAAAACAAACATACCTAATTCTTCTCCTGTATTATAGTCATATTTATAGAGTTTAAAATCTTCACCGCCTGCAACCAAACATTCTTTCGCAGGATGAAGTGATGCAGAATTGATTGTAGCTGGTGCTTCAAATGACTTAATCTGCTCTAGACTAAGGGAGAAAAGATTGTTAATAATGTTCATTTAATATAAAAAAAAAAAAACAAGAGCAAAGAAACTGTGATTCTACTAATCTCAGCTGCTTTTAAGGAAAACAGAATACAACCCCCCAGAGTTTATGAAACAAGTTTTAATACTTGAAAACCATGCTCATCAAGTTAGAATAAGCAAAACAAAAGCTCACACATTCAGAACTACTTTCTAGAATATGTTCAAGCGTATAACTTCTTTCTTAAGATAATCATCAAGATGTATAAATAAGCTCTCTGAAAACCACTGTACTGAAACCTGGCTGAAACGTATTTAATCACAGTTACAGCTAATGTGAAACACAACAGTGGCACCAAACCCTTACAGACAAGTTTCACTATTTTATTAGAGGGTAGTTGTTTCATACTCTGCCTCTGCCAAGACAGAGGCATTCAAGAAAAGATGTCCACTAATGCCAGATCTGACAGCTTGGTGATTTTAACCAGTTTTCATCCCCAACCAAGCCCATTACTCAACCTGTGAAAACTCTGTGTTGTGCACTCACGTTTCTGCACTATGAAAAGCAATAGTCTTCCCGTAGGTTATCACAAGGATCTGTCCTTC